CCTCAAAGAAATGAAGAAATGCATTATTTGCCTAAAAGGACATCAAGGCGAAGAATGCAAAAGAAAAGTAAAATGTTTTTACTGTAAAGCCGCTCATAACAGCGCACGATGTGGAAGAAGAAATCAAACACATTCAAATAAGACTTCCTATCTTGATAGGATAAACGAAGTCGATAAAATAGAATATTGTTCGACTAACTACGAGCCGACAAAAATAACTCAAACAAATGCAGTGACTAAAAAACAAGATAAAGGAACCTTGTTAATATGCAAGGAAATTACTGTATTGAAACCATTGTTACCAGAGCGAATGGAAAGGGCCTTAGCCTTATTTGACATCGGCTCTCAATTGTCCTTTGTATCAAGAGAATTAGTCCAACGACTCAATCTAACAGAAACAAATGAACAAGAGCTAAGATTAGCTCCTTTCGGTATTCGAAACCCTAAATTATATGTATCTACTCAAACGCAGATCAATATACGGATTAATAACGACGAAAACAATAAAAGTATGCGCTAATGTAATCGAATACTTGACCAATGAATTACATGTTGTTAGAATTCTAAAGGTCAATCAAACTATGAATCTAAAAAATTATTGGAGACGACCCGATATCTTAATTGGTGCGGATCATTTCTTCCAAATTGTGGAATTGGATAAAATTGAAAAATTAAAATCTGGATTTTCATTACTTCAAACAAAGGTTCGACCAATGATCGTCGGAAGTGGCGATATAAATCAACTTTGTCAAACAAAAACGACGCGTACCTCAAATGCAATTAGTGTATCCACCTTAATCTCCGGATCAAATATAGAAAATTTTTGGAAGCTGGAAACCATAGGAATACAAGTGGGACCTAATGCCAACGATGATGATGAAGCATTGAAACAATTTAAGAAATCCATAATAAAATGTAACGGTAGATATCAGGTAAAATGGCCATGGAAAGAATCAAAGGATAAATTAAGCAACAATTATGGATTATAACAATTATGCTTGGGACGTTTAAAACATTTAATCAAGCGATTACAACAAGAATCACTTCTCATCACATACGATCATATAATCCAAGAACAAAAACAACTGGGCATAATTGAAGATCCGGACTTCAAGGACAAAGGAGATGTTATAGTAAACTTTTCACCGCATCATGGCGTATTAACTCCTAATAAAAATACAACCAAATTAAGAATAGTATACGACGCTTCTTCAAGGAAAGAAGAGTTTAAATGACGTATTGTACCGAGATCCAATAATGCTCCCGATTTAGTCGGAATACCGCTAAGATTCCGGATGATGGAAATAGTGATAGTTGCCGATATTGAGAAGGCATTCTTACAGATAGAATTATACCCAGAGGAGAGAGACACTACTAGATTCCTTTGGTTAAATGATATTACCAAAGGCCCCTCTACAAATAACATAAAATGTTACCGATTTAGAAGAGTTCCTTTCGGAGTTATTTCGGCACCGTTTTTGTCAGCCACACTAAATTATCATCTGGAAACTTATGGTAACATGACAGCCTCCGAAATAAGAAAGAACATTTATGTTGACAACATAACATTATCGGCCAGTGGAACTGAAGAGGCTCTATTGAAATATGAAGAAACAAAAATTATCTTCAGCGAAGCGGCAATGAATGTCAGAAAATTTCTTTCTAACGATGAAAAGTTTAATGAAAGAATAGCCGACTGTGATAAACCAAAGGCTATAAAGAACAATTTTCTTGGAATCAACTGGATCCATGATTTAGACATCATTCGTATCACATTAAAACCATGGATCGAAAAACAAATCACTAAAAGGACTATACTACAATTCGTCGCTTCGCAATATGACTCAGTCGGTTTTATAATCCCATCGATGATTTCGTTTAAGTTATTTCTTCAATATTTATGGAAACAAAACAGATCTTGGAATCAAATTTTAACTCAAGAAGATGAACAACAATGGCATCAAATGATAGAAAAATGGCCAACTAAGGTAATCGATATACCACGACTCGTAATAAAATCAATAAAACAACTGAAGATACACATTTTCACAGATGCATCTAGCTTAGCATACGCAACAGCAGTTTATGCTCTCAACACCGAATATTTAAGAGGAGAATCAACCTCATTCTTAATATATGCCAAATCTAGAATTGCTCCAATTAAAGGCATATCTATACCAAGACTTGAGTTATTATCAGTACTAATTGGAGTACGAGCTGCACATTTCGTACTAAAACAATTGGGATTAAAAGAAGTACCAGTAACCCTATGGTCGGATTCACAATGCGCTTTATTCTGGATTAAAAATTATTCTAAATTACTTCCTAGACTCGTCCAAAATCGTGTCGAAGAAATACGAAAGGCAGACTTTACCTTTCGATATATTCAAAGCGATCAAAATCCCGTAGACATAGCGACCAGAGGAATATCACCAATAAAACTTCGGAGACGCGAATCATGGTGGAAGGGCCCAGAATGGCTCACAAAGGCCAAAAGAGAATGGCCGCAATGGAAATTCGAATATACTGGTGATGATGAATTTAGTAGAGTTATTACAGCAACAGTTACGAAATTAAAACAAATTACTAAATCGAAATATTTCCAATTCATAGAAGCAAGTCGTTTCAGTAAATGGACTCGATTACTGAAGGTAACTCTGTGGGCTCTTAAATTCTTCAAGCTAAGTCTCAAGAAAAGATTAAATTGGTTGCAATTGATGTCAACGGAAGATCTTATAACCAAAACTAACTACGATATAGTAGAATAGGTATTGATCAAACAAGCACAATCCAATGGAATAAACGAACAACAAATAAATACTTGGAATTTATATGTCGATGAAACAGACGATTTATGGTGAACAAGAATTCGTTTAGAAAACGCGGAGTTGAACCTTGGAAGTAAATTTCCTGTTTACCTACCAAGTCATAACCATATTACTAAACTTATTGTTAAGCACAAGCATGAAGAACTATACCATGCAGGAATTAGTCATACATTATCCGAATTACGACAAAGATTCTGGATACCAAGAGGCAGATCCACTGTAAAACGAATTATAAATGAATGCATGGCTTGCAGACGATGGAAGGCCAAACCATTCAAACTGCTACCAATGCCAAGTTTACCAGAGACCCGTGTCAGGAAATCAAGAGTTTTTGAACAAATCGGTCTCGATTATTTGGGACCACTTTCAATCAAAACAAAACTGAACAAGGAACAACTAAAAGATGGATAGCGCTCTTTACCTGCTTCACCACAAGAGCAGTACACTTAGAACTTGCCGAAAACCTATCAGCAGAGATGTTCATGCATGTATTTCGCAGATTTGTATCACGTCGAGGATATCCTAAACTTGTTCTAAGTGACAACACTAGCCAATTCCAATTAATATTCAAATTTCTCATGGATCAAGCTAAAAGTTTCCTCGCTTCAAAGGAAATGATATGGAAGAATATTATATTATTAATATTTATATTTGAGATTATTAGGTAAATCAGATCTTTGGATTTTATATTCGTTAATTACTACAATAGTGCATCGCTTGGCGGATTAATATGCAAAATTAGCGATGATAGAATATTGCGACGTCTGAAAATTACGATCAAATCCTTCCCGAAAATATGTCTATGATATCTTTAGAAAGTATTCTGCTAATGAACCTATTTACGAAACTACCAATGTGTAAGGAACCTGGCATACCATCGACCATCACAGTGCGTTCCGAACCAGTAATTATTTCGTTTCTTTTTCAAATAATAGAATAAAGAATCAATCTTCATAAGAAAATCTGGTCCTGGTTAAATTCTGGCGATCGTATCCTTCTGGTTACCGTTATGGAATTTAGGTAGAAGGCCGAAAAGCATTGATTTGCCAAAATAACTAAAGTGGTTATCCAAATAATCCGGAAGCAAATCACTTGCAACTGATTGGAACCAACTCAGATAAATACACTTTCGCAGACAGGACAGGACATATTTTAGCCGACAATTAGTGGATATATAGGGAAGGAACTCCTCTGCTATGGAATTCCTTCCTTAGAAAGAGCGAGTTGACGTTATGCAATCAAATGCTAGGCATGACAACCATTGTGGTATCCGTTCATTACCTATCCCTCTTCAAAATATTAGATCGTTTGTTCATCTTGTTTCGCATAATAGGAGACTGCAAGATTTCCACAAAAAATGGATCCTTTCAGGGTTCAATCCTTTTATCGCATGACAATTGAATGCTTTTTCAACATGCCTAGGATCAGGATCGTCTAGGATCATTTTCCATCATTAGATAGCAAAGAAATGGCATTAGAATTAGATGATATCGCTGCTGCAAGGAGATTTAGGAAGGATAGATAGGGAGGAAGCGCAAAGGATAGAAATACTTTCACTGGAAGGTTTTGGAAGGTCAAGGATTAGTAACAGTAGTAGTAATAGTTTGGCAATGTGTTATCTCTGTTTTCCTCTACATTTTGAATTCAATTATTGTGACTAAAGAGCGGCAAAGCACTCTTTTTAAAAGCGAATGTTCCATCGTACGATGAAACATTCAATTTTATTACTCTTCCCTAGTGACCTATCAACTAATATAAGTAAGGCATAAAACTTCTTTGTCCTAAAACTGGAAGAGGAAGAGGTAACAAATTGATTTACTGGGAGATTTTCGTGCTTAAGGATGAAAGATAAGATGGAGAGTAAAAAATGGCATTTGAGTGGAGAGATCGTCTTATCGGGAAAACAAGATGACACATTTCTTATTCTATGATAGATATAGACAAAAGAATATGGGCAGATGTGGCCAAACGATCAAGGAAACAGTAGGGAGGACGTAAATAGTAACGAAAACAGCATGGAAACTGAAATGATTGCTGAAAATTCACTTCGTCCTCATATGCACCGATGGGACAAGAATTTTCAAGTCGTCGCGGAGAGCCTGTAAAGACACAACGATGAAGTTTTTGGGTTGTGATATGTGGGGTTCGGCTTGTTTAACCTGAGGCTGTTGTATGGATGGTTTGAGAGCCTTATTCTGGGTTGGCACAGTGGGATGTTTCGTCGTGGACAAGAAGAGTGGCGAGCCTGCGCGATCCATAAATTCGTGGGATGAAAAAGATACCTGGTATAGTGGTAGGCCTTCTACACAGGTATGTTTCTTGTTATTTCAAATTCAAATATAAGCCTTTTCCTGGTCATGGATTGCAGCAGAGATTGTCTCTCTTTACTATAGTTTTTAACGGTATGCTTAACTCAGGCTGCATTTGAGTGCATTGTGGGGACATTCCTGAATTTTTTTAATGTACTTCTATGGAGATGAGTAAGGTTGCAGCAAAGCAGTAACAATTAAGAAATGAAAAGGAATCCCGTATCAATCACAGAGGAATCATAGGACTGGAAAGGCTCATAAAATTCAAAACACGTACATAAATTTTCCCTTCAGTTGCAAAAAAATGACATATTGGTGCGCTTGTCGATTGGAGATTTGGTGGGCCAAAAGGTGACAGTAAACAATGTGCCGTGGACTTCCGATCACGATCCGATGGAGCAAATTCGCAAGGACTGGCTTTATTTCGAACCAAACCCGGTTTCCCCACTAAACAATGTCACTGTAATAACATTCTTGGGTATTCCGTATGCTGAGCCACCGATTTCACAGAGAAGATTCAAGGTGAAGTCCGTGTTTTCACTTACTACGAAATATTGTTCGCTCTTGCAAATGAAGTTTGTGCAGAGAAAATTTCAAAAGCTATCATATCATGTTCTTACTATTTCAAATATTTCATTAAACCGCGAAGGGCAATAGTCAAGAAAGTTTTGTGCGAAAAAATGGGAGTACAAGATTCTTATTTTATTATAATATTGGAGTAAATATTTATTTCAAATCCGACAGCTTTTTATTAAGCCCGCCATTTTTTGCCGCAAATTGGTACTTGGCATGAACTTCCCTGTATAAATTGAATTTACCTTTGAGCCTCCGCAGCTTCTTGCTAAACTTCCTGGAAAACAGCCATACCTGGCTGTTCAACATCCACCATCATGCGCACAGAATGTCGAAGCTGGACCAACATTATTTATTAATGATCCTTATCCATTTCATATCAGCGAGGATTGTCTCTATCTCAATATATTCACTCCTGATGTTCGTAAGTTTGCTCTAGTCTGTATTAATATTGTGCTGAACTGACCACAATATAGACAAAGCTTTCCTCACATCTTTATTTTAAATTCATAATCCATATTTCTGTCACAGTAGCTCATTCCAGACATCTCAGGATGGCCGCCCTGTCATTGTTTTTTTCATGGAGGTAATTTTCAAACTGGTTCCTCAAATGAATGGCCAGGCCATGTATTGTCTTCACGGGGTATTGTTGTTGTTACTGTAAATTATCGCCTTGGTGCTTTTGGTTTTTAAGCTTTGGCGACGCAAACACTGGCAATTATGGTTTGCAGGTTGCTATTTATTATGTTTGTTTGGAAAATGCACAGCTTTTTTTCCTTAATTTTCTTCCTAACTTGAAAAGTTATCAAGCATTGTAAGAGCTTGAAACGCTATGAAGAATATGAATTTGATGAAGGTTTTTCTATTTCAAGTATATTTAGGACCAAAGGACTGCATTGCAGTTCGTGCAAGATCACATAGCTTCTTTTGGTGGGGACCCAAGACAGGTGACAATTGTTGGACACGATGCCGGTGCGGTCAGTGTTGGTCTACATATGCTATCACCTTTCTCAAAAAGTATTGATTTCTTGGCTGTCATTCTATAAGTCTGTAAGCTATCGATGATGATGCATGGTCATATACGGTCGTTTTCTTCAGATTTATTCCGAGCAGGTGCTGCAATGTCAGGTGCTGAAATTTCATATCACTCAACTATTGGCAAATCCATTCTTGCATTTAATAACACAGTGAAACTGGGACGATATTTGGGTTGTACGCAACCGTTAGCAAAACACGTATGGGATTGCATACTAACACGATCAACGAATGACATTATACAAGCTCTTCAGGCAATACCAGTAGGAAGTATTCAGTGTTGTTAATTTTATGTATCATGGATCTGATTAATTTGTCCATATTTATTAGAATACCTTAGCATGTTGTACAAAGCTACGTTTAATTTGCTTATTTGCGATTCATTTCATAGTGCAGTTAATGATACAATAAATTCTCTCCAACATCCTACGTGAATATCGGAAGTTCCATGAATACACAAGCATTTATGTTTGGACAGTGAAATAGATTGGTTTTTCTGTCCCCCACAACTTGTTCAGGCAGGATGTTGCAGAAATTTTGTGCATGATAGTTATACTGAGTTGCTCCTTTTACTCGCTTACCAAGTTATTAAATGATAAAGTTATAACTTTGTTTTTATAGGTGGAATACAATCGCTACCTGTTCTTACCTCATGTCGATGGTAGATTTATTCCAGCTCATCCAATGTTTCTTTTGAATTCTTTTTCGTCTGGCATCACTGACTATCCATCTGCCGTACCTTACTTGACAGGTTTTAATAGAGAAGATGGCTCTGAGGTAGGTCATTTTATACAACGCAAGAGCGAAACTCTGTTGACTTCTAGTAGAATGGATAAGGAACACAGCGTTAGTTTATGTATTGAGGTTCGGGACCGTCCAGGAATTGTGATATAAAGCACTGTGATGGTTCCATCTTTCGGGTCTGACAACTTGATGACAGCAAACGGACTGAGTGCTTGAGTTTTTTTGTTCGCCCTGCAGTATTGGAGCAACATTTTTGTCTTATTTTATCAACCTAATGGAATCTTTCTTAAAATTGACCGCGGTGTTTTTAAATCACTGCCGTCAGTTTTCGTTACGCGCAATTAAGAACCATGCTTTTGATTTCATGAGTTTTTTAAGTGATGAAAATTGTTGCAAATGCTTTTATTTGTAGGTAGTACTTGAAAATCGGCTCCTGGGAGAATTTAATGACTTTGTTCTAGTCGACCATGAATATCTCAAAAATTACGTACTTGAATATGCATTTCGCCACAATTATACGACGAATCGCGAGGCAGTAGCAGAAGCAATTATTGATCGTTATACTTATTGGCCAGATGCATCTGATGAACACGCAGTAAGGAGAGAATTCATTCGCGTTCGTTGTTTTCAATTTTTGCTTGTTGCAAAGTTATTCACAGTTATTCGAGATTTCAATTCTTTTTCCGTTTCCATTCGCGTCCGTTAAATGCTGAATAGTAGGATCGGTTGTTGAATGGTAGAAAGTGTCTTAATGGTTATCTTTCTTTATGAGTCCAAGAAAAAGGAGGCAATATGTCGTTACATCTCTGAAATTAACATTAACACTCTAAAAAATCTCTGGAAAATTGAGAAAGAATTTGATATCAGAGTTATACTGTTCTATAGCTTTTTTCATCAAATTTATTTCAGTATCTGAATCATATATAAGCAGGATCTCTAACACATGACTTTGTTATAATAGAACATAGTCGATTTTCAGATGGCAACGGATGCTTACTACGTTGCTCCGATAAGTCTCTCTGCTCATTTACATTCTGCGGCCGGCTCGCCAGTTTTCATGTATGTAAATAATTATGAATTTGGTCAAGGATCCAATCAGCGATTTTTTCCAGATTGGATGGGTTCAGTTTTGTTATTCTATTTTTGATTATATCAAATTTGGTATCGTTTCAAATACTTGTCATATTTCCACTTTTTTTTTTTTCCTTAAAGGACATTTGATCATTCTTATAATTCGGATAAAAGAGTGAAGGCAACCGACCTAATCCATGATGTTTATGTAGAAATTTTATACTGCTTAATATCTATGATTATATAAACTTATTATAATCATGTGCTAGAGGGAAACTGGTATCCTTTATGTGATTTCGCTTATTGTGAAATTAAAAATAAACCCTCATGATATGAAGCTTTTTTTTGCTTAAGTCTTGCTGGTTATGAGAGTCATTTCGATATTTTAGTTACATAGTAAGACGTTAAATCATATCCAGCCCTGTTAACAACTTGTATGCATTTAACTCATTCATTCCGTATTAAGATTACAGCTGTATGTCATGACTGTGATTTATACTTATTGTTTGGTTTCCCATTTATGTCGAAGGATCTGTTGCCGAAATACTTTAGAAATATGTCATGGACAGATGCGGATCGAAACGCTAGTCAGCTTTTAACATCTATATTTCGGCAGTTTGCGACATTTATGTATGTTGCTTTGTTGTTGTATGTAGTATAACTCTTAAATTTTGCGAAACGTGCATTATATTTAATTGTTCTTTCCAAAAACTTTGACCGGAAATATCTTTTGAAATTGGTTTACATTTCACGTTTATGATCGTTTCGATCCAACTGCTAAAATTCGAATTATTTGCATGCGCAAACGCTTCAGCTATATTTGTTTCATTTTTGAATTTTGAAAGCACTTTCTTAGGAATCCAAACATTCCGACGGATTCTAGTTGGTTAGCTTTTGAGCCGCGGCGGCATTGGTACCTCAACTTCAATTACTCGTTGCATTCTGATTTTACCAAACCCGGTATATTAGAGCGCGATTATCGCTGGGAGTCCGTGTCGTTCTGGAATGTATACATTCCTTCGGTCAGTTTCTTGAAAAGTTACGGTGGCAGATGTTATATAGTTTTGCCTTTCTCAATCACTAAATGGCCTTTTTTATACTGACATCCTCCTGAATATATTTTTGTAGATCAAATTTTTTTTTTTATCCACAGAGATGGGTACAACATAACATTTATGCTGATTCAAATCTATTTATTTACCATGTTTTATTATGTTTGGTTCTTTGATCCATTAATCTATTTGCAGTTGGTACAGTACATGACAACAACATTTCCGTCTCTTGAAGTTAAAATTCGAAGAGAATTGATCAATTATCAGATGGCACTTGGTGTAACTGTATGCATACTGTTTGTAATTCTTGTTTTGATGTGCCTTTTTGCATATCTGCTATTTGAAAGGAATCCAAAACAGATTGCGAAGGAACTGAACCGTAGAAGGTTCATACGTAATGTAAATGATCACTTTTCCCGGCAATGGAGTCAAGAATCGTGTTTGTAATAGATATTATTACTGCTTTTTGGCGAAAGATTGAATTTATCCGCCTGTTTGATGAAAACCGTTTGTTTCTTTAGTAATTTATAGTGCAACGTGTACAAAAGTGTAATTCGAATTGATTAAACTTCCAAGCTGTTCTTAATACTCATATTACCAAGATTACTCACATCTACATCCGGCTTATGCAGCATTTTGTTTTTATTACATTATGTTTCATATTTCGAATTGATCCCTTTCTTGATGTAGGTTTATGCATGCATCTCCCCTTTCATTTGTGAATAATTCAGATTTATTAAATTTGCTCAAAACATGTCTCATTTTTACAAATACTTGCTAGAATTTGATACTTCTTTTACCATTAACTTATTATGTACGAGCAATGGTATGAATTGTCCATTTGAAAGTAAACTATAAAACTTATGAAGTATGCACTTTGCTTTGAATTGCTTCAATAAGCAGCGAAAAATATTTGTGTAAATTGTTTTGTTAGTTATACCTGTGGCGGAGGAAGTATCACTGTCATGCAACTATCGTTAAAGTTTTTCAAATTCTAGAGATTAGGTGAATATTTAGGACTTTGAATGTGATCTCAGGATTCATCTAATTTAAGACGCTGAAGGAATTTATTCAGGTCACAAATAAAATGGCTCCGAAGCAGGTTTCGAAAAAAGGCGATGTTGGAACAGATAAAGGAGAAAAAGGTACGTTTTGTCTTACTTTTTGCTTTATTTTACGTTATAAGCGTTTCTGTCGAACTGTCGCTTAATCTCGCTGCTTTTTTCGTGCTTTTCACTTGGATTTCCAGGGATTGGTAGACCAAAAGCAGCGAAGGCTTTGGATGCAAAGAAAAAGGTTGTCAAAGGACAATTCAAGGTCCATAAGAAAGGGGTGCGTTTTTTGAACAGTTTTTCTTGTATTTGGAGTTAATGCATCATTTCATTTGAACCAGGAATCATATTTTGCTAATTTTTTTGGTGCTTCAGGTTAGAACATCTGTACATTTTCATAGACCACGTACACTGACTTTACCACGGTCGCCTCGCTATCCGCGAAAATCTGTTCCTAGACGTGAAAAACTTGATGCATATGCCATCATTAAACATCCATTGACAACGGAGTCAGCAATGAAGAAAATCGAAGATACAAACACTCTGGTTTTCATTGTTGATATCAAATCGAATAAGCCACAGATACGACTCGCTGTCAAAAAACTTTACAATATCGATGTGCAAAAGGTACATCTTGTTTACAAGAGTGCTTTGTCGTAGATTCTTATCAACTTTTAATTCATACCAGAATTTTCTGATATTTTTTGCTGTAACTCTCTGATTAGAATGTTTTTTCCCGTATGCTGTATTATTGTTAAAATTTCCGGGCAGTATATAAAAATATTACTAATATGAAGTTTGATTGTAGGTGAATACTTTGGTGACGCCAAATCACGAGAAGAAGGCATACGTACGTTTGGCACCTGACTATGACGCACTAGATGTTGCAAATAAAATTGGCATTATTTGAAGTGTTTTACTGCCTTGTCATGCAGCCCATATTGTTTTTTATATATGAATAAATAAAATAAATTATGTGTTGTTTATGGTTATGTGGAGTTCACCTTCAAGTTTATCACTTGCTTCATTCAATCACTGTTCAGTTCACCCGGTCAGGCAAGAATGAGTGATAACTTGCTCGGGGACGGGAAATATTGGGTCTATGCAGTTTAGCTGCCGAACGATTGTGGTGGCTTCAAAATTTGTTGTGTATGATATGAGGGTGCGATTTAAGCAGCAGGACATGCCAACATGGTAGAGTCAATCGCATTAAACGCTTTTATGAAATATTTGGAATTAGACAAATACGGATTTGGATAACCATATGCAGCGGTTCTCAGCTCTGCGCAATTAGCCCCTGTTATTTTACCACCCAGTCTCGAATTGGAATGCCGGATGATAAGGTTCTAATCCGTTGTTAAGGTATAATTTTCTAATCGCATCAGTGAAGGCTCCTGCTTTGCAGGTGTTTGGTTGCTGGTTACTTGCATGTCGCCTCGAGCTGGGTTTGTGGGAAAGAAGCGTTTTTGAAGAATTATTTATAAAAAACTGATTTTTCCAGAAATAATCGATTTCCATGATGAAAGAAACGAAAGATTCGGCTTATGGTGAGTCCGTTGAGCAAGTTGAAACTTTGGAACAAGAACAAAGGACGGAATTGAGGGAACGTTTCCTGAGAATGATGTCTTTTCTGGGAGGCAAACAGGTTTGCTTTTTCATTTTAAAAAGAGTACAAATGCATTTGCTGCATTAGGCTGAAGAACAGCATTTATGTGTACGGCTGTTCACTTTAAAAAATGAAGAGGCGCTACCGTTACCTAATTTAAATAGCGCTCTAGTCTTATGCAACAGAAGTAAGTTTGGTAAAGTTTTGATGCTTAAGAAGGGTCCATTGCCCATGAATGGATTAAACCATGGTCTAAACAAATTATTTTGAGCATTACTTTAGGTAGAGCTCGACATGCACGAACGTACTCAAGTGGTTGGTAAATTTGGTGCAGTGAAAGCAGACCTAACGCATTACATCGTTGACGCACTGATTACACCGATCGGTGTGATCAATCATGCCATCTTGAGAATGAATGATACAATCATTATCTCAACCAGTGATCTAAATGAACTTTCAAATTTCAAAATTCCGATTCAGTAAATAGTTCACAAAAAAAGATTTATTCATGTTTTTAGAACAATGTTAGAAAATACATATGCTGTGGGTAAATATAACATAGTTATCCTGAGCAAGCATGCATACATTCTTTGAACAACGTGGATGAGAATAGTTGATTTCTGTCGGATAAACTGTCTACAATTGGACTAGACAATAGACTGAGTAGAACACTTTGAAATTAGTGTAAGAGAAGTAAAGATACAAAAAGAACTAAATAATAGTTGTTTCAAAGAAGATGTAGATCATCGCTTAATGAGTTTTAAGTATTATTTCAGGTAGCGCTAAGCCTGATTTCACATTTCTGCATCCTCCCTCGAGGATATTGCGAACTTTTTCGCCCATAACCAGTACCTATCAAGGAAGCAAGTAAGAAGTGGCATTTAAATAGGTGAAGTATTCGGAAATTAAGCAGCTGTTGCAAGTCCCTCCTCCAAAAGAGAAGATGGCGACAACGTGATGCATTTATGCGGATATTAAAAATGTTTGCGAGGCAAATTTTGTTCCTACTGTGACGATCTTTTCATATGTCAACAAGTTAAAAGCAGAATGAGAATCTTCGTAATAAGATTTCAAAAAATGCGCAGTTAATTCAACTATTGCTTCGGCACACTGCACCGGATCGCATAAATTTTGTATGCCTAACCAGCGGCAGAGCATTCCCGGAATCAAAAGAGGAAGATCTGTGAAACAGTGATGCAAGGCCTCACTGAAATTCAGAACTGTTTCAACCTCTTATCAAAAACAGTATTTCGTTTCCAGTGCTTATAATTGAAGTACTGATTATAAAAATGTTTAATTAGAAAGTTATTATTCTGAAAATGTTATAAAATAATGTAACTTCCATATGCGCCACTGCAAAATTTTCATATTACTTTAATTTCCCTTCGAAAATTCCTAAAGAACTGAAGCATGTTTCAGAATTTTTTTCAGACGTACTTGAATGTAAGTAAAACGCTGCGCTTCGAGTTTTCGATAACTTGCAACATATCTTTTACGTTTTCTTCCCATTGGAAGTTTTCGGCATTCATAAACAAAACAGGTTGTTGAACACGTGTAAACAATTCCCTTTCAATGGGAAACATCCATCCGTCGAGTATAACGGCAGCCTAAAAATGCAGAATTAGATGTATTTCATTAGGCTTCATTAAAAGTGAGAAAATTTTTGCGAAACTGAAAGATTAACCGACAGAAAAATAAGCAGGAAAAGCTGCTGCTGCTGCGACAGCTGTTGCACCACCAAACGAATGACCAGCAATAAATATCCTGCACATGTCTATGCGACCCTATAAACCATTCCAAAAATTTTAGAAAATCAGTGAACCTATATATTTTTCCGAAAATTTCAACATTGACCAAAAGTAGAAAGAAAATCTTTAAGGAATACTGATTTGCATGAATAACACTGAGCTGAAATTTTCAATAAATTGTTCTGCGAACAAATTCAAATAAAATTAATGCATAAATTTATAACAACGAAACAACCTTGAACTGTGACCATGCGAAATCCTTCCCCAACAATAATTTTTTCCCAGTTAGTCGGTCCGAATTATACTGTCCTAAATTTAACTCCTCGAGTACACGTAACGTTTTGACACATTCCGCTATTCGTTTGTGAAGCTGAAAGAACTAGGTTGTTTTACTTTAAAATTATTACTTCATCATAGAATTAAGAATACTTCATTATAAATTACTACTTTGGTTACTTGTCAGTCAACTGCTAAAAGAGAAGTAAATCTTGCTAAACTTTTTTCCCTGGCAAAATGCCCTACAAACGGTGTTTAACGAAAGAAACTGGCAGATTTTTGTGTTCAGAATCGGATCATTCTAATCGGTATTTCGATGTTAACTATAAAAAGCATTTTTATTCAATCATTCATATCGATTTTGTTCCTCGATTATCTGCTTCTTCCTTCTTGTACATTTCTGACGTTTATGAAAAAAACCGAAAACTTGGTTCAAATCACTTTCACTAATTCCATTTTAATTATTTTCAATTAATAAGACGAAAACCCACACACCTGCCCATTTCGTAGCTGAAATTCATCGTCGGTTGGCATAAGTTTACGAATTTTCACTGGTACTTCTATTCTCTCTCCTGTCTTTTTATCAATTTCAAATTTATATGTCCAACAAGCTGAACAGTCTCTGGAATCAAATGATTTTTAAGACTGTAATTTTAAAAAACTTAATGTGGAGAGAACGGTCCATGTTACAAGCTTTTCGAGTTGTAAAGCTATAGTATCATACTTCACCTACTCTTGCGATGATAAAATAGGTCCGTATCACTTTATTATTTCCACGGAAAACATAAATTACCTGTGCTCAACAGCTGCTACAACATAACCATGACTTGCCAGTGATGAGCAATAAATTGAGTAAAAGTGACGACATCCTGAAAGACCATGAGAAAATATCAAAACTGGATAGTTAGCTACGGTGTTATTTAAGGCAAGATGCCAACGCGCGGGAATCCTGCAATTAACACAATAAAAATAAAAAGCATGTTTGTTGATAATTGCTTCAAAAGTTAGAATGAGCGACTCAAAGAAACATCTGTCCTATTCAGTTCCTCTAGCGATATCTCTAGCATCTTAGTGCTCCAGGTTTTCCTTCAAACTACTTTTTCTCCATGTTCATCAATTATTTTATTAAATCTGATGGAGAAAACAGCATTATGGGAAATAGGTTCTCCAGTTATTCCATATCTTCTTTCGTTCTATTACAAAGCTGTCCTAAAAACACTATGCGATTTATTCATATTACTTGCTTAGCATACCTTTTCTCTCCAATAAACCATCTGTGCATGAAACGCATCCAGAGAGAAGATGAATTCCGAAAGTCTGCTAAACCATCGATGTATTCCTCCCTTGGAAGCCATAAAGGGTGCTGTGATTGCTCCTGAAAGAAAAAAATTTGCACGCCTACTCTTTGTAATTGTACATAATTCGGTAATATAATGATACTGTTTGCAGTAAGAATTGAATTATACTCCTATTTCTTTTACTTACTTAATTAATTATTACCGGATGTTTGCATCGTTTATTTCAGCTTACCTTCTAGGTGTTTGTTAAGCATCATATTAATAAATGTTCCATGTAATCTGATCTCAACGACATTTCTTTTCCTTCTCAACTCCACTTGACGTAATGACATTAAAAAAGTTCCATGTAAATGACTTAAAAATTACGAACATCTGATGTGAGTGCGCTATCGGATGGATAGTAGATTGTCGACAGAATACCAACATCATCGTCATTCTCACTATCGCTGAGCATAATTTCGGCGCATCCAACTTCAAATCTTCCGCTTCCAAGACGAGGTAGTACAGTGACATCTTTTTGCACTGACTTTGACATCGAAATGCCCATCACACTGAAGCGATGATTCGTGCTGTTGCAATCTCAACTTATCCACATTAATATCAGAAATCTGATTGCTTAGGCACTTTGCTTTAGAGCTCATATCGAATCTGAGACATTCCTATGATCGGTCTTTAACTATTTACAGCGAGCAACTTTCTCATCATTGTAAAATATTTCATCAATAATTGATCCCATGAAAGGACGAAGAACATAATGTGTTCTCTGACAAGTTTATATTATATTAACTTCTAAGTAAAAGATAAATTAGAAATGTGGATGGAATTGAATATTCATTGAAAACAAGTAAACAAGTGAACTTAAACGCATAATATTATATAAACAAAGCGCAAAATAGATAATTATACATATGGGACAGAGGGAATAAAATGATATAGTAAATATTCCTATCATTGTTAAATCATCAGGATTTATGTTCAGATAGAACTATAGGAATTAGGTTAATTATCCAACCAACCAGCCGATCAATAGATCGATAAAACTTGTTAGCATTCAAGAAAGTAGCAGAGAAACCAGTAATAGCCAGAAACAGAGATGTCAGGTAGGACGTGCTGTTCTATATATGTGAGCGTATGGCAACTGAATGTGGACGCGGACGTGTGGCATCTGAACGTGGATGAGCGTGTAGCATCTGGATGTGGACGGGTGCGTGCGGCACAGTACAAATTGTTGACACTCACATAAACGCTTCATTTTTTATTGTCTGTCATTTGCTGAGTGGAAGGTTCTGTGGATAAGTTGTCGGGAAGGGAAACGAGACTGTCATCGATGAAAAACGATAATGGTAACGAGGTAGGATCTTCTATTTTGGCTGACGGGGAAATGTACCCACGAAGAAATGGGTATTTAACTGCGTGAGGTATGTTCGGTGGAGTGCTGCGCTCTGAGCGTACTCCACTGAGAAGTTCAGTTGATGGTTGTACTGCTTGGAGATCTCCTGGTGAAAATCTTTTCTACGAAGAATATAAAATGAATGTTTTAGCTTGAGAATTCGAGAAAGAAAGTCAAACGTATGGATGTTGATTTGGCGAGTGGGAAAAAGGAAGAAAGTACTGAGGCAATGTCCTGTTGACCTTTGATTTTTTTGTTGACAGTACAGGAAGCGGAAAATTGATGAATGTCGCTACAAACAGAAGTTGAAGGAGTCATTTTTGCTCTCTGAACTTCAAGGGATCTTTTGTACCCTAAAATCAGTCATTTCATTCAGTTTTAAAACATTGCCAAAGAATAGCAATTCATCTCATTTTCAAAGATTTTCATCATTTTTACAGCTTTTCTGCAGGAAAAAGGAACAGCGGAAAAGAATGCTACTCTTCCGTCTAACTTAAAGCAAGTGCAAACACGTTCCACCAATCCATCTCGTACGTCGTCCAATCGTATTTATATGTCAAAATATCATCACACATTATTCCACACTTTTTATAAAATTTAAAAAATTCCCAAATTTGCCCTTTTTATGTGTTTAAATAGAAAGCTCATTTCATTGAATTCATTCAACACTTTTAGTGTTTGCGAACGTGAAAATTGTTAACGAAGCTTCTTCGGAAAAGAAAAATGAAAGACTCGCTCATCAAAAGTATTCAAATTTTAACAATTTATTTGGATTAAAATTCAGGAAATAGTTTCTAGCGATGATTATGCTACTGTAATTTGCAGAACATCAAACGGACCAAACAGAAGTGTGCTGAAAGCGCTAACTTCACCCGGTGGTCGATCTCCCGAAGTTCCTAATATGCCAAGTAACTTAATGTTTCAGTTCTTCATAATATTTACGAATGTTTTTTACAAAGTGCTTCCGGAAAACGGGTGGTTCTTTAAATTTTGAAACGTCATGTTATAGATAACTATGTTCAGCTACTAGCTAAATGTCACCACCATAAACTAACGTTACTAGGGAAAAACGTGACAACAAAATGATAGAATATGGCTGACCATAAATTTGTCAACTTTTTTTTACAGTCTGTAAAACAGCAACAAAATCTAAGTCAGAGAGTCACGTATCCAGAGCTGATATGGTGACAGTAAGTTGTGCTGGTTTATTAGTACTTTTAATGAATTTTAAAATTTAGAGGAAAGTGATGCCAGTCTACAATTTGAAGTCAATTATTTTAAATTAGAACCCACAAGTTTAAAGATTTTTTAGTATTAAAATTTTCGAATAAGTTATGTGTCATGAAATTGAGTTTTGAGATTTTTATTCTAGGTTACAATTAAATCGACCGTATCATCATTCAAACCACTGAAGTTAGTAATGAAGAAAACAACAAGTGTACGTGTGCTGAAGAACTATTTGCAGTCACGACTTGGTGGCGCTCATCAAATAATTCTCACTCATAACGATAAGGAATTAAAGTGGGTTTACTGTTCGAAAATCTTTCCTCCTTAAAACTATAGTATATACAGTCATATTGTGGTTTTTTTTTTTGGGGGGGGGGGGGGAGGGGGAAATAACTTCTATGTGGATATAAACGATGCATTCTTAATTTATAAAATATTCGGATCCTTCTATCTATTCTCCTATATCTTTTTAATCATTGCTTAAATCCGGTGCAACGCTACTAATCCGTAATCTTTTTCGGTTATCATTTCTTTCGGAATAAAAGCAACAATTCCTATAATTTTCGAGTTCAGTATACGAATATTTTAGTTCGGTTAAGACTTTGAAAACGATTTTAGTTTTTTCAGGAATGAAGGCGGTTCTTTGACATCAATTGGTATTACCTCGGGCAGTGTATTGTGGTTGTTAGTAAAACCAATTGCTGGTAATAATGATCGTGAAGAGTTTGCATCGTTAATTCGAATGTCTCAGTCACTAGCTAATCTACGAAATTTAATTCGTTCTTTACCATCTATCGGCAGCTGTGAACCAAACTTTTCTGGGCAATTCTTATTTTCGATTACTTTCTTTTTTTACTTAATTCAATTTTTGCTAATTTTTAGTATGTAATTGTTCTTTAAAAATGAGGACGATCAGCATTCATTACCTGAATTGTTTTAACCGTATTCCCGATGATACAGGTCTGCTGAATATGTTGAAATCACACCCTGCGAATATAAGGAAGCGGAGCATGAGCAAATGCGAGAAAAAATGAAATTATTGATACAACGAAGAGAAAAAGTTCGACGGAATAGCGCAAAAAATTTGTCGGAAAATGTGGGGCAAAAAATCCAAGAAATGTCCGGAAAAGAAGTAACCACCGATGTGCTCGCACAGTCACCATCATCATTCCATAGTTCTTGCGTGTAAGCCTTTTGAACACGTATCACTTCTTTGTAACAACATGTGATATCTTGGAGCACAAGATCAGTTTTCAGTACATGGAGATCCTCTAAGTCGCCATCTGTTTCAACACCAAGAGGTACTGCTGACGTTATAAAACAGAAGGAATTAGCAACATATTTCGACCCACCGGAAACAATCAAACAAAGGAAATTTGAAATGGAGGAATTGTTTGACGTTCCATCAAACGACAGCGAATTACTTAGAGTAAATGTTATTCTAACACAGATAAGAAGTAATAATTCTACTGTGTGGATTTTAGTGGCCATATTTAGGCATAAAACTAGTTCCTTCTTCAAGTCTAACTTTTATATGACGATATAATTACATCAACAAAAGATTGCACCGGGTGATTGCTATCACTCTGTATCACTAACTAGGATTAATTTCTGGAATTTGCTGTAGTTTCAATTCAAAATTATTCTCGCTTAGCTGAGTGTTCAGAAACAAAATAAGAAACAGAGCAGAGAATCATAGATAATAACTAATAACGACCTGTATATTGCTATGAAAATATAAAAGTCTGTCTCAGATAAAGGATGAAATAAAAAATAAACGTTGTGGTCTATGTCGAATAAAATTACAAATAGCTGATAGAGAAATACAATGCATATGTGGGCATGTATTTTGCAGTAAGCATCGTAATCCACAGATACATAGGTATTGGATTTTATTTTGAATTTGTACCACGTTTTATGTGTCTCTCTACTAATACTGATAGAAATTCTCCGAAGCCAAAATACTGTGACGCTTTTTCTCCTTGCTCTCGATAATAATTGGATTAGTCAAAAAGCATCTACATGAGTTCGCCATATTCCTATGTTTGGGCGGAGGTCTCATCCTTTTTTTGCAAGCTTTTGTTCATCCATCAGCTCCTAATTTAAAAGTTTTCATTTCTTAATTTAGCTGTTAGCATTTCATGCAGTATTTTAGGTGCAGTATCGATTTAAAATCAGTCGACCGAGTACATGTTAGAACGGCACCACCAAAATCAGTGCGAGACGTCCCAAAATCAAAAATGTAGGTTGCTGTAAAATTGACTTGATGCTGAAATATATCGAAGGAAAAGAATTCTCTCCCCAAAAAACTGGTTATAAAATAACGCTGTTTTTATACCTCCATTATCATATGTACTGCGTTTGATAAAGCTTGCTATACTTGCGGCTATGCGCATGTTTGAAAAACTAATTTTATTTATAAAATTGATTTTCCTGTATAACATACTATTCTTCTGACGTCATTTACAATCTCTGATTAAGTTCTATAAGTAAGCGTCTCTCATAATCATGTATGTGTGCATGCAAACGTCGACCGTAAGAATTCTTTTCTTCTGGTCCTCTGATATTTCTTACCGGAACATATCTAAACATTTGTAGTTAAAAAAAAAAAAAAACAAAAGACAACACTTTCTATCACGTAGAAATCAGTCCTTTTCGTCTTTCGCTTTTTGCGCAAGGTGTCTACATCATACTTCAATTTTCAAATTCTTGAGTAGGATTTAAGCTCCAACCGTATTCATCTTTCGGAATCCAAAAACAAACGCTGTTTTCGCTAAGAAAAATAAACTTACTTCCTAAAAGCAAATTCCCAATCGCCACCAGATTCATATACACTGTATAGAATTGATGTGACCGCGAGCAAAGTCATACTTCTCGAACCTGATTTCCACCTGTAAATAATCTTATTGTAAACTACAAGATATGGACTTTACACTTAATTTTTCATTAAGAAAATGGTCGGCTATTGTGAGATAGTGAAATGTAAAGTGAGAAGGAATAATCGAAGCAAGTACAATTATTTTCATGTCAACAACCTAGAAGGGTTTATTTTGGCCGTTTCATAAAAATGCGGGATTTCTAGTGCATCGCTCTTGACTTAATTACAAAGTGTTAAAAATGGCCATGTGAATTTGGTAAAAGCTTTTTTCAAAAATCCATCGGTATTTGGTTTTTTCGAAATACCAAAAATAACGACCGCTCTTGAGAAAATATAACTAACTTGATATATCTATCGATAGGGAGTCGGCACACTTTGACTCCATCTTGCTTTGCAGCCAATAACGTTGCATGTGGGTGCAAACGATATTGCGCAACTCTATCTACTATGCCACCCAAAATATATACTTTTGAGCCTTCCACCTGCACATAAAAATAAATGCTTAGCTTTCAGTTCTTTATACTTTCGTGCTTATATCGTTTGAACTTCCTCTATATTTTAATTTTAAAACATACCTCCTCCAAATCAAATTCTGCATGGGGACTTAAATAAATTATTTCTTCGGGGGAAAAATGATTCAGATAACTGGATGATGAGATTGTGAGAGATACATTTTTTGGTGAATTAATCAATGATAAGTACCTGTAATCAAAGTAAAATTCATTTTCACGTATTTTCAGAAGCTTAAAAATATTTAGTATAAATCTTCATGGAAAAAAGTAACCTATCTCGTGCTTCCAAGATGTTTTCATTCCTCATATCAAAATTAAAAAAATAAAGGGGCCATGAGCGTCGCCGATCTCGGTTTTCACTTGCCAAATAGGAAAGCTGGATTAAAGTCTGAGACAGAGCCTGTGGTGAGAGTTCATTTAGAAATCGGCAGTCAACCAATAGTGCAGGCTTCGGATCCAGTTGAAGATTATGCAAATGATTCATTAACCTTCGTTGATTAGCAATACGCTCTGCAAATAATATACGGAAAACAGTGGAACACTTAAGAACATGGAGTTTTGGATACTATTAACGAATAAATTTAAACAAAAAAAGAGAGTTCCATCTTGATAAATGAATAATGCTTCTGAAATGGTCATAAGACTATATTGTGACGTCAGAAAACATACGATATAGAAACTGTTGGTTTAGGAACACATTTTATAGGAGATCGCCAGACTAATAACGTACTTCGTTGTGTAGCACCCACAAACATTGCAAATCCCGACATGGGTTCCGAAGTCTCATACTTTTCAGGAACCTTCAGCTGATGTTTCGTCTCACATTTCAATTCCTTTAATTCTTTCTGACGACAAAATTTGATATGATTGAACCGTTGCTTCTGAGTTTCACACTGAAGTAACCTTTTCCAATCTGCATCTGACAAATGTTCGGGAAAATAATTGTAACAACGGGACAGCAACTGTAACGGACGAATTTACTTGTCATAAGTTTAAAAGAATATGTTTTTATTTTCAGTTTTCCAGTGGTTCATAAATGTTGAATCAGTGTTCAGATTTCCGACAAAATTGGGAATTACCAAACAAACACCAAAACATGTTTAAATTGGAAAGTATTTCAATTGGAAACAAAACTCATCAAATTCAATGAGCCAATATTCAACATAGGATCTATCGAAAGTTTGTGTTTACTAGCAAACTCCATTGACACTCTCTAAGATATCTAAAATTGTCTAGTAGTTGGAAAACATCTTTTTTCTTGAACTTATTATTGACAGATATCTGGAAAACTACTACAAATTAAGTTTTGCGAGATATATATAGGCGAATGTAAGAAGAATTAAATCTAAACAAGTAACAAAACAGAGAATAATAGATAAACTCCACTTCAGCGATACTAACCTCCACTTCAGTGATAATGCTTGAGAGTCGTTCTTGTTGCGATGCATTCAGTATTTGGATGAACTGTCGAGAAGGTAGAGATTTCAGCTTGCTTTCAGCTCAAATTTTCATCGAAAAATTAGCACCAATTAATCCTTAGATATTAAAATCTGCACACAATTTGAACTTACTCCATAACACGGGCCAACGTGCATCCATCCCCAATGTCTTCTGCAACTTCCATACAACTCTCCTGCAACCACTTCGAATAGCATCCCGATGAGACTCCAAAAACTTCATCCACATCTGTTTTTTATAAACATTATTACACTACTGCATGCATACATAACGAGCTGTACAGAGGGGCTTGTTAGTCTGCACAAACATATAATAATTCTAAAGAATCCAAAAGTGATGAGCAATTCCAATACGACCCAGTTTGTTCTCCCACTAGAAAAAAAACGTTATAAAAATAAATCCTCTTATCATATATTTCGGATACAAAAATTAAATATTGATGAAGATGAGAAATGTTCCAAATATAAATCTTTATTGTTAAAAAACCAAGCGAAATTACTGCATTCCACCTACATGGATTAAAATTAAAATCAAAGATGAGGAACAACTGATGTTTAGCCGGATGTAAAGCCTTTATATCACATTCATTTTATTTTATTACATACGTTCATGAAAATAAACATAAAAAAGTTTGCTGAAAGTCTTTTTGTTACAAACAGGAAAGGATTAATCTTGCTACTTGAAATGCCAATTATAATTTCATCCAATACTGATTCCAAAGTTAATGCAAAGTAAAATAGCTTTATTTTATGAAATCAATTTAAAAAATGCTATATCTTCTCCAAAATCAATTCTTTTTGGTTTCCTCTTCTACTTCATCCTTTACAATTTCCAGCTGAGCTCGAAATTCCGGTATTCTCATAATCTTTTCAATTACATTTAGACGTACAATGAGGTTTTTCGGTAAATCTTCTTTGTTTCGTATCAACACACCACCTTTCAATGTTTTCCGAGATTCCGCTCTCAGTAAAGTCTTCTTAGCATTACCTTAAAAAATTTCGTAATTTCATTACGGATTCTATCAAAAATAGTTTTATAAAAAATAAATGAAATAAAAGGTACGCAAAAGTTATCAAATAAAACTAATGAAATTTATCGCTCGCCTGCAACGAATTTCCGGGCAAAGCCAGGATGAATACCAAAAAGAACTGAAATATTGGCGGCATCATATGGTGCTCTGATATCAATCATCCTTTCAGCACCACTTGCTATTACAACGCCATTACCACCTTTCGCAGACATTAACAGCTGTCGACCATTTGTTAACACCTGGAATTACTGGAACTGGTTTAAAATTTACGATTCAGATATTTTTAAAAAAATTATAAGCACTAATCGAATGTGAAAAAAGAAGTATAATGTTCAGCTTCCATGCACAAATCATTGATAAAAAACTATTCTCCAGCACGTATTCCAAAATCCACATATATCAGTAACTAAGAGGAATACCTCTCGTCTTTGACTGCTGTCTTTCAAAGCATCGGCATAGGTGATCTCGAATGTTATACCATCATTAATACAAAGTTGAATAATCTGGAACAACATTATACTGTTTTATCATTTTTCACATTATAGGCGCTACAGTTTGAAAAACGCATTTATCATCATTTGGACTACTGTGACAGATTCAAATGTGATGGTATTCGACTAATTTCCATAACCTTGCCTCTTCAGCAAAAATGAAACATAGATCAAACTTTATCCAGGTAAAACGGCATAAAACGGCTAAAAAAGTCTGAAAATGGTACCTTGCTTTTATTGAGCCAACCAACAGATGTTGATGCCTGCTCATAAGTAATGATATCGACGAAATCACCCTTCTTGCTTAGCGTCTGAAGGATCTGATCATCTGATGGACGTACGGCAATCAAATCATATTTTTTCAGCTGAGGATGATGCATTAGTAAATGAACCTCTGTGCTGTTTGATACGGTAGTAGTCAGACGACTGAAAATTTGAGGTGAATTAGGATGGTAACTCAACTAATTCGCTGCTAAATCATTTCATCATAATTTCATGTACCGTCTTCCTAACAGATCATGGGAATTATAAATTGTGATTGTAAATCTCAGCCATCATATTAAATACAGAGTTACATTTAATTGTAAAGATATTTACTGATGCACCTGAAAATCCTGAGACGTTTCCCATTTGCTTCAAGCATACTGGTATCCAATTCGGAACAATCAATATTAATTGGATCCGGTATAACATTTCGCTCCTTGCCACCTTTCTTCTTTTTCTTGTACGGTGGCTCACCATCCTAAAACGGATAAAAATAAATTCTACTGTCTAAAGAAGTTTGAAAAAAATGGGAAGTAGCAAAAATAACCAACATACGATTCATTTAAATGTCTGCACCTAATTCGTAAGAACTCTCAAATAGATAAGAATCTCGATTATCTGTATCAAAACAATTTCTAAAGCTTTATCTCTCTATCTCTAATGTGGCAGTGAGTGGTGGCTCTTTACTCCTTCTTACACAAAGAAAAAAATCAAACTTACATCTTCCCGCATCATCTGTCCTATATCAGTATTAACTACGACACAGTCGTAACCCATCCGTACTGCTCGACGTACCATTGCCATGGTTTCATCCATATTACCCGTATGCCTAATATTCATTTCAGCAAACTGGAAGTGATCATCCACAAATGACAAAGACATTCCTACAACAATTACAATTCTATTACACTTTACATCTCACTGATGTCAAAACAGAGGACACCAAATATCCAAGTCTGAAACGCCTGTCTCTGTAACCAATGGAACTATTGAAACTATTAGAAAGAAAAGTACAATAAGCAAACCTTCAAAACCGAACTATTAGCAATTAAGGAAGGAGCAAGTACTACGAAAACAAAAAAACAAAAAAACAAAAAAAAA